AAATAATTTTTCAATAGAACAAAAAACCCATTTCTAATCATTTTCCTTGAGAACTCATTTTAATGTCTAGCAGCACACTGATCAAGAATATTCAGTAAATTATAGTTTCATCATTGTTCAAATAGGTTCAGTAAGCTTGTCTTTTAGAGGAACAATACAATTGGAAATACTGAGAGAACTGTACCGCATGTCCATAAACTTGACCTTTTAAAGAACAAATTTCATAAATTTTGCTGGGATAGAAGGCTACAGGTTCTACTTCTTTTCATTTCTAAATAAGTGGCTTCTTACTATATTTGTGTAAGATAGAATAGTTTATTATTCGAATTCTCTCTTTCTCTTGGCAAGAAAATTAATCGAATGGACTTTCTTATGTTTTAGCTAAGTATAGTTTTGAGTCATTGGCGCTGGATAATGATCAGGAGAAACTACCTGAAATGAAGGGAAGTGATTAGGTTAATGTTGTTTTTGTTAGGTGCCATCGAGTCCTGGACAACTCATAGCGACCCTATGAATGAAAGGCATGAGCACTGTTCATAGAATTTCCAGAGGCAAGCCGTTTCGGAAGTGGATGCCGCTCCTGCTTCCAGGCTTGTTTTAGTCGGGAAGCTCCAGCAAACACTGCCCACCATGCGTATTCATTACCACGTTTGGCACATCAGTGTCAGTGTTCAGCATCACAGCAACCACGAGTTACCTCTGTACATCAATGCACAGACCAGTGCTAAACCACCTAGAAGAATGTTTGACAGGAAAACAATTTGAACCCTGCCGAGGGCCCTGCCGAGGGCCGCAGATTAAAATCACCCACCTTTGGCTTGGTAGCATAACGTTCTGTCCACTAGGGCAACGTAGCTCTCTCTATGTGGTCGCTGTTATTGTTATTAGGTGCCATCCAGTCACAGATGACTCATAGCGACCTTATGAACTAAAGGCCTGAGCACCGTTCATACATAGAGTGCAAAATCCCAAGAAAAAGCTATCTTTAAACAAATCAAAATAAGTATCTGTTGTGTTCATCTCCGAGTTTATTACAACTCATAGTATACCTTGACTTGTGCTCTACCACCTGACAATCTGTCATACTCAAGCCCATCATGGTAGTCACATCAATCTATCCCATTGATGGTCTTCTTTTTTGCTGACCCTCCCTCTACCATTCACAGTATTATACCTCTCTCCAAGGACTGGTTCCTTCTGAGAATATATCCAAAATGAGTGAGATGAGGTTTCACTATCTTTGCCTCTAAGGAGAACTCTGATTGTAGTTCATCCAAGACAGATTTTTTTTTTGTTCTTTTGGCAGTCGATGGCCTATTCAATACTCTTCACCAATACCACAATTCAAAGTCTTGATTCTTCCTCACTCTTCCATAATCTTTGTTTAACTTTCAAATGCACAGGAGGTAATTGAAATGACTGTAGTTTAAATTAGGCACATCTTAGTCTTTAAACAAACATCTTTGCTTTTTAGAACTTAAAAGAACAGATTCGCCAATACAACGCATCTTTTGATTCCTTGACTACAACTACTAAGGGTTTAAAGTGTTGATTCAAGTAAAATAAATTTGTTGGCAATGTCAGCCTTGCTTTTCTCCATCTGTCATAATGTTGCCTATTGATCCACTGGTGAGGATTTTTGTTTCCTTGATTTTGAGATATAACCCATATTGTCAGCTGTAGTGTTTGATGTTTTGTGATAAGTGTTTCAAATCTTCTTCACTTTCTGCGAGTAAATTTGTGTCATCTGTGTAACACAGTTGTTGATGAGTCTTCCTCTAATCCTAATGCCATGTTTTTTTAATATAATCCAGTTATTTTCTCAGCATACAGATAAAATAGATATGGAGAAATGATACCAGTTTGATGTAAACTCTTCCTGATTTTCAATCATGTAGTGTTCCCTTTTTCTATTTCCTTGTTCTCATGTAGTGTCCCCTTTTTCAGACCATGGATTTCTTGGTCTATATATATAGGTTTTGCATGAGAACAATTAAATGTTCTGAATTCCCATTCTTGTCAATGTTAACCTCAATTTATTATAATTCACACAGGCAAATGTCTTTGTATCATTAATAAAGCATAGGTAAAAGCCTTTCCACTATTCTCTGCTTTCAGCAGTTGTTGTTAGGTGCCAACAAGTTGACTACAAAGCATAATGACCCTATGAACACTGGAACTAAATCCTATCCTATTCTGTGTCATCCTCATCATCTCTGACAACCTTGAGCCCACTGTTGATACAGTTACTGTATCAATCCATCTCATTGAGGATCTCCTCTTCTTTGTTGACCCTCCATCTTTCCAAGCATGAAGTCTTTTTTCTTGGAAAGGAAATTTCTGGTAGTTGTTAGGACTGGCCCCTCCTAACATGCCCAAGTATGTCAGACAAAGTTTCACTATCCTTAACTTCAAAGAGCACCCCGACGACACCTTTTCCAAGACATACTTGTTTGTCCTTTCAGCAGTCCTTGCAATATTCAGCATTTTTCTCTAGAACTGTAACTCAAAGACATGATTCTTTTTATGTCATCCTTATTCCTTTTCCAACCTTCACATGCAAAACAAGTGATTAAAAAGAGTAAGTCTTGTCCTTGGAGGAAGATGGCTGCTGCTCCTCTGGTTGCAAGGGCTTGAGACACCATGAGGGAAGAGACCAGATAGCAGAGCTGTTCCCGACCAAGTGAAGCAGAATACTAGCCATTTGGAGCTGCACTCAGCGCCAGACAGAAGCTCTGGTGATCTAGTGGTAAGGAATTGTGCTGGCAACCCAAAGACATGCAGTTTGTATCCACCAGCTACTCTCTAGGAGAAAGATGGGCAGTCTCCTGACATGCACATTACAACCTCTGAAAACCTGCTGGAGGGTCAGTGTCTTAGAAAGAAGACATCATCATGGCTACAGAAATTGGTTCTCCTCCTCGTTTTTTTCATATGCCAAGGTTCCAGCATAAGGCACCTTGACAGCTCTTCTATAAACGACCAGATTTTGCCCAACAGCAAGCAATGCAACAGCTTACCTTTGATGGAAAATGCATGAGAAAAGCTGTAAACCAAAAAACTATAGACTACAAGCCATCTGTAATTAAATATTTGGAGAATCGAATATGGCAAAGATACCAGAGAGATATGCAAGCAATTCAGTCTGATGCAGGTTATTATAATGATCTTGTCCCCCCAATAGGAATGCTGAATAATCCTATGAATGCAGTAACAACAAAATTTGTTAGAACATCAACAAATAAAGTGAAGTGCCCAGTATTTGTTGTAAGGTGGACTCCAGAAGGAAGATTATTAGTAACTGGAGTTTCCAGTGGAAAATTCACCCTGTGGAATGGACTCACTTTCAATATTGAAACAATATTACAGGTTCATGACAGTCAAGTGAGGGCCATGACTTGGTCACATAATGACATGTGGATGTTGACAGCAGATCACGGAGGATATGTGAAATACTGGCAGTCAAACACGAACAACGTCAAGATGTTCCAGGCACATAAGGAGGCAAATAGAGAGGCCAGGTTTATATACAATATGCCATTTTATGTAGTCCCTATTGGCATGGTTAAACGATTTTCTAAGTGTATTCTCAGTGCGGAGATGCATGAGCTCTGTCAGATCCTAGGAATCTTTCTGCACCTTAAAAACACAGTATTTTTCTTTGTTTTTCACACATTTACCGTTTTCCTGGCACTTTTCTGAAGTAGTGTGGCCTTTGCAATAAGTTGGAGATGTCTGCCGCGTTTTGCTCTGGTTTTCTCTTCATTTATGGTTAATCATGTGTATTCTGTATTCCTTTTTATTGCCTACTATGTAAGACAAGAATACTTTATTCCAAATAAAGAATCCAGTATTTACATAACTGAAAAAAAAAACAACAAACAAACAACCAAACACTAAGTCTTGAATTAGGCACAGCTTAGTCTTAAAATTGATATCTATTACTCTTCAGCACTTTAGAGAGGTCCCTGACAGGTGATTTACTCAACGAAATATTTCATTTTATCCCCTGGTTGCTGATGCCAAAGGTGCTGACTGTGGATCCAAGCAAGAGAAGGTCATTGACAATTTCTATCCCTTCTCCCTCTATTTTAATGTTGTCTATTAGCCTAATGGTGAGAATTTGTTTTCTTGATGTTGATATGTAACCCATATAGTCTTTGATTCTCTACAGTAAGTGTTTCGGGTCCTTCTCAGCCAAAGCAAGAAAGGTTGTGTCATCTGCATAATGCAGGTGGGTGATGACTACTTGACAGACCTTGATGTCAAATTCTTCTTCATATAGTACACCTCTGCTTTCAGCAGAGACATCAGCAATGTCTCCCTTGCCATGGCCTTTTCTGAAATCAGCTTTAATTTCTGGCAGTGACTTGTTTGTGTGTTCCATCTATTTTAAAATAGTCTTTAGAAAAATTTTATTTGCATGGGACATTAACTATATTGTTTGTTGATGCTACAGTATGTTGAATCACCCTTAATTGGGAATGGGAACAAATTTTAATCTCTTTCAGTTTTGAACCCAGGTAGCTGTCTTCCATATTTGTTAGTAGAATACAGCTACCTGGCCATATTATTGATCTCATTTAGCTTTTCATCTATTTCTGGAGACACATCAATTGATAGCCTGTCTGTTCTGGAAGCCTTATATTTTGCCAGTGCTTCTATGTAGGTTGAACGTCTTCCTTTTGTACTATTGATTCTTGATAATATGCTACTTTCTGAAATGGAATGAGTAAATAATACTCTAGGAATTCCATAGTTACTATATGTACCTAGAAGACATTTTGTATTGGGAAATCAAGGAGAATTGTAACTTTGAGCAGACAGAATATCATTGATCTTTGTTCAGAAGTCATTCAGAGATCTACAGGAATCAGTTAAGGACTGGAATGGATGTTTTTGACATTTTCTATTTATTTGACTACAATTTTTTTTAAAAGTAACCAGGTTTATTTCTAGTTCCAATAAAGAGAAGAATTTATGAATGCTGCCGTTTGTGGCTATTTGCACAAAAGGCAATTCCACAGGTTAATTATCTTTTGTTTAAACCAATGACTTCCCCCCAAAACAAAGAGCAGTAAATCAAAGCAGCTAATTGCTGTTATGCTCAAGAAGATTTCATTGTAAGTTACTGCATTCGTGTCACATTTACTTGAGTGTGTCACAACTTGCAAGTAATAGATCCGAAAGAACTGATAGGGAAGAAAGCAAATAAGGATGACACCTATGAAAAATAGGTTTTTCAACTGGGCCCAGAACTCCTGGTGGGATAGCAAGGAGTGGTGAATCTTTCGCATCATTGACGTAATTATGAAGACCTGGAAGACCAAGAGAATTACCACAATGGCTATGACAATAACAATTATTATGTAGTTAATAATTTGCACAGGCCCACGGGAAAGTTCTTTGTGGAATGTAAAACAGAGTTTTTCATTGTAATTCTCCTTAGACCCATATTGAGACACAACCAGGGGTACCACAATGACAACTACCAACAGCCACATGCTGATACTGGCAGCCACAGCGTGAAGTTTTCTGTAGAATTCAACTTTGTCTTTGCGCTTGAAGAAGATGAGATACCTGATGACTAGGATCACCACGTAGAACAGGAACGTAAGGTGCATATGGATGTGCAGCATGGAACTCACAAACTTGCATAAGGGAAGACCAAACATCCAGGTTCGCTTGATGAGGTAGATCAAGCGAAAAGGTACCGTCAGGAGAAAAAGACTGTGAACCACCACCAGATTAACAACAGCTGTTGTAGTCACAGACCTGGTGTTCATTTTTACCAGTAGAAATAAAATGGAGATGACGCCCAGTAGTCCTCCGATGAACACCACACAGTAGAGGTAGGTTAAATAGGGCATTTCTATAAAACTGCAAGAGTCATTCCCAGAAACATTGGAGTCGCTGGTTACATTATATTCAGCCATGCTTCAGGAGTCACCTGGAAAAGACCAAGCACTAGCGTAACTGACTAACTCCCATAGAACTTGGTTCATATCACCTTCATAACGTTGGTAATGTCACTCTGCATTTTTTTCTGTTTACATAACATACAATTCATGTATGTGCCTTAAGAGTAAAGGTTATGTCACACACATAATTATATACCTTGGCATCTAAAATACATAAAATAGGGTTATTAATTTTGAACAGATTAAAAATTTTAAATATCCCCAGGGATATACACATATACATAAAGACATAATACAACGAAAGGAAGATTACAGAATATCTGAAGTTGAAGTGTGATTATTGGCCTTGCAGTCACCATGGAATAAAAAGTTTGCAGAAAAGATAAATATATGAATGACTATATCAAGTACACAAAATATTTGTTTTCTTTTGTTATTGCTAGGTTCCATCAAGTTGGATCTGACTCATTGCAATCCAGAATGAAACACTGTGCAATCATGTACTAGTCTTATAATTGCAGCCATGCTTTAACCCATTCTTGGAGCCACTGCAGCATTGATGGTCTACTTTTTTATGACCTTCTTTGGAAAAGGATCACTGATGGTTGAGTATGTTAAGTGTTGAAGAGTTAACCAAAAGACTGGTGATTTGACTTCACCAGCTGCTCCAAGAAAGATAGACAATCTCCTTCCTTGGTGAACCAAAGAGTCTCAGAAACCCAATAGAAGGTTCCCGTGAGTTAACATTGGTTCAGATGCAACAGTTCATACACATTTAAAACATTATCTGCCATGTGCTTCATAAAAGTCAATTTTCTTTTACCTATTGTTGCTTTTTTTGAATGATGATGATAACATACAAATAAAAGCCTTTAATATAAAAAAAATTTGTTTCAGATGTGTACAGTTGAATGTGGAGTCTCTGAGCAACCAGAACTCAAGAAAAAAAGAGTGAACATCTTTGATGACTTAATATTATTGAAATATCATCTTCCTCAAAATTGAGCTGTAGATTCAATGCAATAAAAAATTTTATCAGACTATTGTAGAAAATGTCAAATTTATTAAAAAAACACATGAGAATGTAATGGACTTGAAATTGTCAAACTATTGAACAATCAAGAACAAAATTAGAAAATTTCTTTTTAATACCTTCAACATTTGCTATAAATTTATTACACTTAAGATAGTATAATCAATCATAATAAAAGACATTAAAAACAATGGGACAAAATTAAAGAGACTAAAAAATTCACTGTCACATCAATTGCTTTTCAAACAATGTGTCAAACAATTCAAGGAAGAAAAATTCTAGGACAATGATTTATTCATATTGAAAAATCATCATCAAGTTTATATCATACATTTACAGAATTTAACCAAAATGTTTCACAAATTTAATAGTAAGAATTAGAAAATCAAATTGTCTAGTTGAGATGCAGGGGAAATCTTGGTAACTTTTGGTTAGGCCAAAATTTCCAAAAAAATATTGAAAAAAATAATGAGTTGTAAAAGAAAAAAAATATTACAAGTTAGACTTTGTCAACATTTAAAACATTTGCTTCTCAAAGGACACTGACAGGGAAATGGGAAATGTTAGAGAAAGCATTTAAATAACGAAGTCTAGGGTAGACACATTAATTTAGTTGAAAGGAAATGTGATCTACAATAAGGAAGAGTTCAGGACAAAATTGTCAAGGCACTGGGAAGGGCACAAGAGTGAATGTAACAAAGATAAATATCATCCCAACCTCAAGAAAACAAAAATCCTTATCACTTTATAAATATCAATAAAGTAATAAGAAATTTAAGTTGTCAGTGAGTTCATTTTAGAATCCGCACTCATGGTAGCAACAAAGAATCAAAAGACATGTAGCATTTTGATGAGGACATCTGCTGTCAAAGACCTCTCCAAATTGCTAAAGAGCAATGATATCTATTTAAAGACTAAAATATGAATGACCCAAGGCATGATTTTTTCAATTTTTTCCTATACATTTGCAAGTTAAATAAGGAATAAAGATGACAGAAGAGGAATGATGTCCTTGAATTGAGATGCTGAGGAAGAATGCTGGATGAACTATTGTTGTTGTTGCTGTTATGTGCCATCAAGTCATTTGCGACTCATAGTGCCCCTATCTACAAGAGCCCTAAATGCCATTCTATCCTGTGCCAACCTTGCTGTCTCAAACACATTCATTCCCACCACTCCACTCACAGAATCGATCCATCTCATCGAGGGTCTTCCTCTCCTGCGCCGTCCCTCCACTCTCCCAAACGTGATGTCCCTCTCCTTGCAACATGCCCAAAGTATGTCAGACGAAGTTTCAGAATCCTTGACTCCAGGGAACATTCTGGTTTCACCCTCTCCAGGACAAACCTGTTCATTCTCTTAGCAGCCCATTGTATATTCAACACTCTTCTCCAGCACCACAACTCAAAGGCATCAATTCTCTTTCTATCATTCCTATTCATTGTCCAACTCTCTGATGCATAGCACATAATTGCAAAGACTATAGCCTGGATCAGGTGCACCTTATTCTCCAGCCTGACATCGTTGCACTTCAGTACTCTTGAGAGGTCACTCACAGCTGACTTTCCCAATGCAATTTGTCTCCTGATTTGCTGGCTGCTGTTACCAAGAGTGTTGACTGTGGAACCAAGTAAACGAAAATTGTTAACTATCTCAATCTCTTCACCAGATTACCAAAAGAACAAACAAAGCCTTAGAGAAAGTACACCCCGGGGGCTCCTTAGAGGCAGGGATGGTGGAATTTCATCTCTGAAATTTCCACATGCTTCGGACATGTTATCAAGAGGAGCCAGTCCTTAGAAAAAGACTTTATTCTGGGAAAGGTTAAAGAAAGAGAGGAAGACATACAAGAGGAACTGAAACAGTGACTCTAACAATGGGCTTGAACTTAGCAGAGATCCTAGGGATACACAGGGGAGGGCAAAGTTCAGCTCTGCTGCTCAGAGGGTTGCTAGGACTCCTAAGAGACTTGATGGCACCTAACAACAACAATTGCAACAACAGTAATAAGAATTTATGGAAAGATGGCAAGAAGCTGCACTACAGTCCTAAATGAACGCGGTCCTTGGGAGAAGGACGTACAATCTCCTCCTGTGTGATTAACTGCCTCTGAAAACCCACTTAAAGGTGAGCTATGTGTTGATTCTCTATGGTATACAACAACAACAATGTACAGCCACTTAAGCTGAATGAGGCGGGGAAGGTAATATATTTATGGATATATTTATATATCCATAAATATATACAGGCTTGATAAAAGACATTTTAATTTGTATTTAAATGTGCTGCAGTTACATTCATGCATGCACTACTATTAGAGCACACAGAAGGCAAAGTTAGCTCTAAAATCTTTGTCATAACCAACTACCTTGAAGGAATGGGTCACTGGACCTGGGGACTCACAGCCATAGATTTGGAGATGACCAAGTTTTGCTGACATAACACAGTACATAAAGAAAATGTTTGGGTGAGTAACAACTACCATCTTAAGATCTTATGAGGAGCCCTATAAGGAGCAAATATTGGTCTTTTGCAGTACAGAGAAAAGTAAATTGAAGAAAAAGAAAGATGCAAGTAGACAATTCACCCAAAGGAATACAGGACTACAGGAACCCCAGCCTCCAAAACTGAACACCAGAACAACAATGAGTGAATTAGAAGATAGTGGACTAGACAGACAAAAGTTCAGACCCTGGGCAACTGAAAACAAAGATAATGGATATGGATGGTAAGTCTGAAACTCAGAGTTCAAAACAAAAAGGCAAAGAGTACTTAAAACACTTCCTGAGGGAAGAAACAGAATAAAAACATTCAATAAGGAGGTGATATGGATGCAGAGCAGTAAGCAACTCTGTGCAACCATTTTGAAGTCCCTCTATGCAGAGGGACTAGAAAGGCTGCACCAGTGAAGAGGTGAAAAGGGAAAAGTGCAATCCCCCTACTTGTTCCCTTTGCCCTCCTGGAAGTCTGGGAGTGACTTTCTTCCAATCACCATCACCATTAACCAAATTTCAAGATCCTGACAAGAGTTGAACAATGGCATCTACCACTGAGTGCTCTGGAAGAAAGCAAAGTAGAAGGTCCTGGATTGAGGAGGAAAAAATGCACAACAAACTTTAATTAAAAACACAAACAAATCAATATTACCAGTCAGAAGGACACTGATGGAATGCCCAATAATATGGTCATTAACTGTACGCTGAGCAAATAATTTGAAAATATGGACTCTGTGAAGAAAAATGTGGTATCAGGATTGGAAGGAAACTTATCAACAACTTTGATTACACAGACAACGCAAGCTTGCTTGCTAAAAATAAGGGGTCTTAAGTACTTGCTGCAGAAGACCAAAGACTGCAGCCTGCAAGATGGTTGAAGTGTATACATCTCAGTCTACAAGAAAACAAAAACTCTTGCCACTGGACTAATAAACAACATTGTGATAGATGGAGAAAAGATGGAAGCTGTCACGACTTCGTCTTTCTTGGATCCACAATCAATATACTTGGTACCAGCAGTCAGGACATCAGACATACTGCCCTGGGAAAGTGTGTAGTCAGGGACTTTTCCATATTACTGAGGATTAAGGTGTGCCTGATTCAGGACACAGACTTTTCAGTCATTTGCTATACTTCTGAGTACTGGACAATGATTAAGGATGGCAGAAGAAAAATGGATTCTCTTGAACTCTGGTGCTGGAGAACAGTACTAAATGTCTCATAAACTGTCAAAACTGTCAAAAGAACAAACAGATAAGTCTTGGAGAAGGAACGCAGCCATAGTGCTCTTTGGAGGCAAATATGATAAATCTTCATATCACCTATTTTGGGCATGTTGCTAGAAGAGTTATTCCTTGGAGAGAGACCTTGTGTTTGGAAAGGTGGAGGGGGCCAAAGGAGTGAAAGACTCTCAACCATGAGGAGTGACACAGTGACTGCAGCAATAGGCTTCAGTGTGCCAGAGATTGTGAGGATGGCACAGGATA